GCCCGGTGGACTCTGGAGAAGCATGTCCCGGGTGTGTGATAAATGAAATGCTTTGTCATCTCCGTGGTGTGTGTGCCTCGTTTTCTTATCATTCATTATGGGTCTTCATTACACTGGATTTTGCTTACCAACTTAAACTAAAATGTTTTTTGTTTTTTTTTTCCATTTGCATTTATGTTTTCTGATAGAAATGACATGGTACAATCCTTCATTCATCCAGGAGTGGGTCAGTGTAGAAAAGGTTTCGATGGTGGTCATCTGGACTCATCTGGACTCCAGTTTTGCACTATTAAAAGAGAGTTATTTGTTTATGAGGCGTGACAGTAGCTCAGTTGGTAGAGCGTTTGTCTGGAGGTTGTTGGTTTGAATCCTGCTCTCGACATAAACATAGGTAGAGCAGTCAGATTTATAGGCCAGATGTGTCCTTGAGCAAGACACAGGCATGGGCGAGTGATCTCTTGTAAATACTTTGAAGGTGGAAAAGTGATATATGTTCTTGCTGTTCTGCCTTTTTATCACTGCAAACAAAATAAGACACTTTTTTTCATATATATCTATGTGCAGCAAGTTTGTACTAATAAGGTAGTGTTTTTATTAATACTGTTAAGATGGTACAGTACAATTGAAAATATATACTATTTTCTGATCTATGTTATGGTGTTATTTCCTCATCAGTAATATAACTGAAGTAACATAACTGTAGATGTGTGCAAAAAAATTGAAATATTGCTATATTGTATCACTTAATGTGATGATACAGTATCGATATCATGGGCTGTGTATTTTTTGGTACATTTTACTAAATTATTTTGTTACAGCTACAGTTTTGTTGCTTGTTTAGTGGAAGAAAATTTGACATTTTTACTGTTTTGAGGATTAAAATGTTATATGAATTTTGCAGAAGAAGTGGTTTAACAAAGAGTTTTAGTATCACAGCACATTTTTTTTATTGAACTGTATTGAATCGATTTGAAATATATCGTATTGAATCAAAAGTGCACTGTAAATATGTATCGTATCGTGGCACTTGTATCGAGGTATGGGCAACTTCTTAACGATACCCGACCCTCCTGTTTACCGTTTGATTGCAATGGTGACCACCGCTGAAAGCTTCTCTACATTTGTCAGATGGAGAGTTCAGTTCATCACCTGCTTGTCTCTATGGAGATGTTATTGCTTTGCCTGGAATGTTCCACAGTATGGCATTGTTCTTATTATATGTCTATGTTACAGCTTATTGGACTATTCTTAGTCTGTGCAGAGTCTGAGTCAGCAGAAACATCAGGCTTAACACCGGTATGAATAAAACATGTGCTCTGGTCTGATGCAGTACAGACTTACTCCAGATCTGTGTATTTTCATTTCATTACTTTTGACTTGAGAGAGTTGCAGATATTTTCAGTTTAAAGGGGTGGTCTGTGTCTGCCCATGAGATCAGACCTGTCCCATCACGTCAAAGAATGTTTCTGTTTTACTACCAGAAACAGGTTACATATTCTACCAGAAACAGGTTACATATTCTTATTAAAGGTGCACTGTGTAACTTTTCCTCCACCAGCTTGTTCTGCAGCATGGCATTAAACATGTGTCTTGCATTTATTCAAATACAGGTACTGATATTGTTCAATACATGCATTCTTACAGTGAGGTCTGATGTGAAAGTTGCACTGGTGTCTCCAAGTAAATACTCCATGGAAACAAGCAAGTAGCCTGCCCTCCTTAAAAGTGACACAGTGCATTTTTGAAATATGGATGCTTTCTTCAAAATACAAATCATTATCCTGAAATAATTCCAACTTTATGTCCTGGTTTGGTCAGAGTTTGATCCTGGTTTAGCCCGGATGTAGACTTGGTTTGGTCTTGCTCTACTCCTGGTTTAATTCCGGCTTTGTGGGTAACTAAAACAAAACATTCACAGACAAGTTTTAGCATTTGACAGACTCCAAACATTTCTGAAGATTATTGTTGTCCAGATAATCACAAACATATTCAGAAATGAACTTCAGTCACTATTCCTTGTCCCTCTGACCAGATGCACTGAGTACATGTGGTTTTGCATTTACTGCCTGTGGTTATAAGAATTATGTCTTAATCAGAGTAAAAGAGGAGTTTCAGAGAGGGATTGTGGGTAGTGCAGTCCTTAGTGCATGAGCTCAGACTAAAGGCCCTGTGTCTGGCTCCTGTGAAACTACAGAGGAGCTGATTACATTTGAGTCAGACACAGTTTATGAGAGACATGAGTTTTTCTCTCTGTCTCAGTGTTGGGATTAACGCATTATAAAAGTAACAAATTACTGTAATGCATTGCTGTTTGCTGTAACGCAGTAATGTGGCATTACAGGGAAAAAAATATTAATATTTTACTCGGTACAAATGTCAGTAACGCGTTACAATGCTTTTTTTTTACCTGGATTGAAGTGGTGGGTTTTTCTTCATACAAATTCACTAAAATCACTGTGATATCAGCAGCGGTGAAACGCCAGAGACGCGGCCGTTTAGACCGTGATCACGAGTGAAAGGACCGGAGCAGAACTCCGCGCTCCACAGAGCTAAACCCAGCTGACACGTTTGGGGTTCTCTCAGGGGCGGTCCTAGATTCCAAGTTCTAGTCCAAGATTAGTCCTGGTTTGGTCCTGGTTTAGTCTTGGTTTAGACATGGTTTAGTCTTGGTTTGATCCTGTTTTAGACCTGGTTTAGTTCTGGTTTAGACCTGGTTCAATCCTGGTTCAGCTCTGGGTTTTTTCGTAATTTAGTCCTAGTTTAATCCTGGTTTAGACGTGGTTTAGTCCTGGTTTAGACATGGCTCAGTTCTGGTTTAGTCCTGGTTTAGACCTGGTTTAGTTCTGGTTTTGTCCTAGTTCAGTCCATATACGGCGCAAAAGTTCAGCATCTTCACAGTTATTTTGGTGAGAGTAACTTTAAAGTGCTGCAAAAGTAATGTAATGTCTTACATTTTAAATACAGTAATATTGTAATGTAACAAATTACTTTGAAATGACAGTAACAAGTCATAAATAACACATCACAGTTTTAAAGTAACTTGCCAAACAGTGTCAATGAATGTATGAGAATGAGAATGATCTACTACTACTAATGCTATACTACTACAAGAACTAAAATTGATTTGTTTTATGTACTAATACAGTGTTTTATAATGGATTAAATACAGATGCTTAGGTTTCCAATATCAGTATTTTAAATGCAGTATATTTACCCTGCAGTATATTTACCCTATATATTTACCTCTCTTACTGGTTTAAAAAATATTAGGTACAACTGAACCTGTGTCTCCAGAGTCTTCACCTGCAGAAAGAGACACATCCAAGTATCTCTTGGTGTGCAGAAATATTGAAATATCAATATATATGGATTCATTTAATGTGATGATACTATATCGATATCGTGGGCTGCTGTATCGATATATCGCCAAGAGTATTTTTTGCTATATTCTACAAAATTATTTTGTTACATCGCTACAATTTTGTTGCTTGTTTAGAGGAAGAAAAGTTTTTCATGCGACACATTTGACATTTTCACTGTTTTGATCATTAAAACAGGTGTGTTTAATATTATGATTTATCCTTTATTTTTTAATGAACTGCATCAAATCGATTTGAAATATATCGCACCGAGCTGTATCGAATCGTAAGCTCACTGTATCAAAATATGTATCGTATCGTTTCTTATGTATCCAGGTATGTGTCATATCAGCAACTTATGAATGTTATCCAGCCCTATCCAAGTTTGTCTCATTCTCAGTTTATGGACAGACCAGGCCTCGTGTGAAGCTCAGAACCTCCAGAATTCCCTCCCTGAGCATGACTGGCTGTAGGTGCTGAGGTTTAGGTGCTGACCATTCAGATCAAAGAGAGACATTTTAGGTTTAAACCAACTGGATTTCAGCCTTGAAACTCGCAACTCAAATGATAGACTCATTTGAGGCTCATTCTGCTTTCTGACTGGAGAATTGTCTTCTTTTGAAGTTCTTTTGACAGACCAGTGTGTTTCAGATGCTTTATTCTTGATGGCTCATGTGATGTTACAGAGATGTGCAGCTGCTCTGTGAAAGACAACTTGGATTTGGAAATCGTATTGTTGGACCATAACTTCACCATCATGTCCAGTCTTCTTGATATTAGAGCTTTATCTTAGCCTTTCTCCCTCTCTTCCTCTCTCTCTCTCGCTCCCTCTTTCTCTCTCTGCTTCCCTCTCTCTTCCTCCAGAATTGATGCCTGGACATAAATATGGTCTGGATAATCGTGTCTTGATTTGTGCCAGTGAAAATGAAACATGTCTGTGGTCGTAAGTGTAAAGTGCTTTCACGGCTACCTCTGAGTGAAAGAGCAGCGGGTCAATCGAAGCTCTGATTTAGAACAACTTCAGGCCAGAATGACCTCCATTACACTGCCCTGTCTATTAATGTCACAGTTAAAGGTGCTGCACCAGATTTTATGTCTTAAAAATGCTAGTTCTTTTTAAACAGTTTGCAGTGGTCCAAAGTTCCTCCTCACTTACCTTATGCAGATTCTAATACCACAATGATCATAAAAAACACCTTTTTTCTAGACAATAAAATGTGGTTGTCAGCATTAAATGGTAGAACTTTCTTTTCTATTCCATGTGTGTTATATGTGTAATGGTCAGTGGTGCAGTAGGTTCATGTTGGTCCATGTGTGTATACTAGTCTATGTGCTCTGACACTTGTTCTGATACAACTCAACATCATTCTAAAGACATTCAGGAAAGGTTCATTTCTGTTTTGCGAATGTGAGGGGTTTTTTTTTTCTCTTGTATTGCTATCTGCTCTTAGGATCTAGTTTCGATACTAATTTTAGTATTGGTTAGTATCAGATGTTCGATATTTTTGGCAGCCCTAGTGCAGCTTGTTTAAGCTCAGTATTGTCATCTGTGCTCATCTGAATTCTCTGATTTATGCTGATTTTAATACACTAAAGCACAAGTGTATTAACTGAACCTTTGTAATTCTGTTTCTTTTTCAGAGCTGGTATCGACGATGTGGAGACGGAGGTGGTGGAGATCGAGGCCAAACTCGACAAGGTAAAAACCTTTTTCACTATGATATGATATGATATTTTCTGCAAATGTGAAAGAGGGGCAGAGAGGGAGGGAGCGATGGAGGAAGGAGAAAAATAAGAGAGGGAGGAGAAAGAGAGAGTGTATGCTTCTGTAATGTGGTTACAGATGCATTATCCCACTCCTCTCCAGACATCTGTGAGAAGCACCAGAGTTCCAGGCAATAACAGCAACATCTTAAAATAGTATTTGAACAATGTGAAAGATTCCTCAATATTCCTCATTGCCTCAGTAATAAAACTGTTAACAGTGCAGTTTAGATCTGTACACACGTCTTCTGAAATGTGATTCTTCTATTAGTTTGTCAGTTCTTCTGGACGTGCCTTAAATCACAATTACAATGTGATTTTAAGCCCTAATAGTATACTTTAGGCCTTAATGGTATACTTTAGGCTCTAATAGTATACTTTAGGGCCTAATAGTATACTTTAGGCTTTAATAGTATACTTCAGACCCTAATAGTATACTTTAGGCTTTAATAGTATACTTCAGAACCTAATAGTATACTTTAGGCTTTAATAGTATACTTTAGGCCTTAATAATATACTTTAGGCTTTAATACTTTAGGCTTTAATGGTATACTTTACACCCTACAGTAGTATACTTCAGTCCCTAATATTATACTAGTACTTGCGTTTGCGTCAGAGACTGACCAATCACAGGCACCCATATAAACATACTTCAGCCTATTTTCACAGAAACACAGACTTTGTAGTTTTCAAAAATCGGGCAGAAGGAAGAGTTTTCTGCATTCGTGGATGGTTAGACGTGTGTGATTTTTTCCCTGGATTTAACTCAAGTGTGTTGTGAAGTCAATCAGTGTGAAGTATTTGTGTGAAGCTCTGATCCTTGTTCAGATCTCTTTTAGGGCGAGTCATCCCAGACTGATAAATATGTAGAACTGTATTCATAGGGACACATATCAGCCTGGAGAGAGAAGGTTACATCAAATCAGCAACAGAAAAGTTCCTTAGTGCACCTTTAAATGCCTTCTGTCTCACATTTCCTGTCTGTTTCTTATTGCTGTGTGCTATGGGAGCTTCACTCTCAGTGAGCTCTGGGAACTGCTGCTCCAAACCTGATAATTAAAGGTTCACAGTTTCTGTCCAATGCACAAAACCACTGCTGTGACTATCCTCTATCACCACACATACCCCACACGCTACCCCACGCCTGGCCCTATCCCGCAATCCTAAAATCTTCCCCCTCCATGAAAATGCTCTGTAATCACCAACAAGTGTCCTATATGGAGATGGGTATGTTACATTACATTTTAGACCCTGACCCACCAGTTTGGAACCATCATCTAGTTTATTTGACATCGTGTTTTGCTCAGTCATTTGAGACAATAGACAGGAGCCTTGTTTTCTACAGTGTCCTGGATTCTGGAGGATTATTCTGAACCAGGCTCTGTTTGATTTATGTAACTCTGTGTTATTATTAGCTCTGAACTGTGTCTACAAATATCTCCTCTCTACAGATTCTGGGCTGTATGTTTTCTGTGATCACATTATGGTAGTTAAAGTAAAGGTGCAGTATGTCACTTTTCTGGAGACAGGTCACAATCCTCAAGTGGAGTTAGCTGGGTAACTGTTAGATTGCTGATTTGTTGACTTTTTATGGATCATATTTTTGTAATTACTGGGCCAACAAATAATGAGAAGGTTCAACATTTGTGGATCATAAGTTTGGAGATTTCTTTCAAAAACAGTGAATCTCCCATAGAATTATATAGGCTCAACCTCCATCTGAAACTATCACAGATTATAAAACAAGTACACAGCCTTAGTACTGATACTCTGCAGTTGATGTCATCAACATTCCCTGAGTGTGTGATTATTCTGACTTTATTATTCTGATTGTTAACACAATCTGACCAGAAAGAACTGACTTAACAGAAGTATAACAGATGAGCTGATTGTGCTGTTAAACAAGTCCCTCTCAAATCACATTACAGTAAGCTACCATTAGCTGACGTTTCGTTGAAAATCAAACTCTTATACAGGACCATGAACGCTCACACTGATGACAGGCTCCTGAAAATGTACTGTTTAAATTCATTTTTCTTCAGTTTTCAGATGATCTTTTTGGCAGTGTTTGCTAATGTGCATATTATAATGGTAACTGCTGAACATTCTGCCATAGGCATACAAGCAGAACACCTCCGACGTGACACAAGTTTGTTGTGTCCTAATATTTGAGTTGTGTTTGTGTTTTAGCTGGTGAAGCTGTGCAGTGGGATGATCGACGCAGGCAGAGCCTACGTCACTGCAAACAAACTGTTCGTCAATGGAATCAAGGACCTGGGATCACAGTGCAAGAAAGAGGAGATGATCTCTGTGAGTACTATGAAAAGTACAACTATACATGCTACCACAAAGTACTACAACTGTGTAAATGTACTATGCAAAGTACTGCAACAAAGTACTACAAATGTCTATAAATAGGAAGTGAAAGTACTACCAGACGTACTACAAATGCTATGTAAAAGTACAATTACATTTTAAGATTCAGCCAATGCAAGAAAAAGGAGATGATCTCAGTGAGTTCTACGACTGAGTACTACTGCAAGTACTAGAACTGTGTAAAAGTACTGAAGTGAAAGTATTACAGCAAATCAAGGCTCAACAACTTAAACTGTAATATTGTAAAAAATGTCAATTGCAATTCATCATGCACAGAAAGTAAAAGTACTGCTATTGCAGAATAAGTAGGATGCAGTAATTAAATCCTATTCATATTTAAGACAGTATTGCTTTGTTGTAGTGGCTGATGTGATTCTGTATGTAAGATGGTATTTTGTTCTTATAGTTGTTGATGTCGCTGTGTAACTCAGTTTTTGTGTTTTTAAGGTTAGTAGGTTAGTAGGTTAGTATTTCTTTGCTAGTTACTGATGTTGCTTTTTACCTCTGTGTTTAGTGTATTTAAGGTGCTATTTCTTCCTTTTAGTCACTGAGGTCATTGTGTAACTTGTGGTTTTCCCTGTTTCAGGATTTCCTGGAAAAGTGTGGTGAGAGTCTCCAAGAGATTGTCAACTACCACATGGTGAGAGCACACACACTTTCAGGATTTGAATGATCAATTAACCACAGTAACTATCCTTAACTTTAAAGTTAACCTATTATACAAAATCAGCCTTTTTAGAGTTTTTAAATTAGCATTTACTGTACACTGATTTATGCATGTTTGAGTCATTCCTCCGTATATCCCTGTTTTCACCTCCACCTGTATACACCCACTACACACTTTTTTGTCCAGTTAGATTTTCTTAATGTGATACACAGAGTTGCGTAGTCATTTTGGTGCTAATGTGCAGCTCACCATAGGAGGGGCCCACAGCATGCGGTGCTTTGCTGTCATGACGTTTACAGTGAATTCTCCCACTGGACACCACAGTTTTCCAGCTACAGTGCCCAACTTCTTTTATTAAGTTGTTATAAATGAATATGATAATTTAAATGTCCAAATGATTATAACATGATCCGCAGATGTCATAGATTATAACTATAGAGCACATACAACCACAATAGATCTGCTTTAAGATAAGTTGAACAATATTTTCTACATTCTGTATATTTTTTGTAATTTGTTTGTATCATCTGTAGAGTAAACAGGCCAATTTCCGATTATCCAGATGACACACTTTTTATAGAGTTTAATTCACGATGTAGGAATGTGTTTTGCTGCTACAAGTTTAGACAGAAAAATCGAGCCCTGTATTTAATTGCATTAGTCACCCTGGCAACCATTTACATTGTACATATTATCATTTTGACTTTAAAATGTACCATATGTTGTCCTTATTCTGTGGGGATAAAGAATTTCATTTTAGACACAATATGTAAAATGTATTATTTTTTCTGGAATTATACAGAAAATGGGACAGATTGCTAGTAATGATAGAAGGGATTGCACAACTAGAGCCTGTTGAAGCTGTCTAGACTGGGTACATGTAAAAGGATCTACAGTGACATCTTGTGGTGAGAGACAGTCACTACACAAGAAACACTAGAATCCTTCTGTTTTAAAATAATTTTCTGGGGGTCCACCACTTTGACTCCATGTTCTTTTTTCCTGAAATGTTCTACAGTATGGCATTTAATTGAACTATCTTCATGGAGACAAGTGGGCAATCACCAGTCCAAGTTACAGGTCAGAACAAACGCATTCACCATCACAATGGCTTCTGCATCAACGGTAGAGAGTGTCTCCAACTTTAAGTTCCTCGGTGTGGAGATCAGTGAGGATCTGACCTGGAGATTAAACACCATCAGTATTATAAAGCGTGCCCAGCAGAGACTGTTTTTTTCTACGAACACTCCGCCAGAACGGGCTCTCCCAGAAGCTGCTAACCTTCTTCTACCGGTGCACCATCGAAAGCGTTATGACGTACTGCTGTACATTATGGTACGGAGCCTGCACAGCTGCTGAAAAGAAGGACCTGCAGCGAGTGGTGAGAACAGCTGAAAAGGTGGTGGGCTCCACACTCCCCAGAACCTGGCCACCATCTACTCTTCACGTCTCCACACACGGGCCTCGAATATTCTGAGGACCCCACACACCTTGGGAACTGCCTCTTCCATACTCTCTCCTCAGGAAGGCTTCAAACTCCCCTCACACATACAAACAGGCTGCGCAACAGATTCTACCCACGAGCAGTGGGTTTTTTATTGGTATAGATGTGATGATGTGTCTATATTAGTTCATTTTTACTGCTACAGATTTTCTCTGTCGAAGTTCCGTTGTATTTCATACAATGACAATAAATAAATCTAAATCTAAATCTAAAAATCTGTGGAGAAGTGGACCTGCTCACAACTGTGGAACATCCCAGGCAAAGCAATAACATCACCATGGAGACAAACAGATGGCAAACACACAGTGCCCCTTTAAAGTGATTGTGGAGTTTGCTGTAGATTTGTTAACCTGCTTTATGGTTCATATTTTTGTTAATACTGGGCCTATCAACATGAAACAAAAACTTCTGTTCAGCGTCTTCTCTGTCAGGAGAAATAATCTAAAGTCAAATGTTTTTTTTTTCACAATTGCTTCAGAAAGTGGTGCTATTATTCAGCCCCAAAGAGAGAAAAGAGATCAGTTTCGTGTACATTTATTTTATTTTATTTCTGTATCTAAAATGTCTAAATCTGTTTATGTATTTTGTTTCAGATCCTGTTCGACCAGGCGCAGAGGTCCATCAAACAGCAGCTGCACACCTTCATCAAAGAGTGAGTGAGCCCATTCTGAGTATATTTGAGTACATTAGTGACATTAACTTCTCTCATTCTGACCTGGTTTGGTGGATAGTACCTGTGGTCAATATTTATCGTAGTTTGACATCAAGGAAATGTAGGTTTGTGAAGAAAAGTTAAGAAGAAAAGTTGAAAATTAAAAAGAGTAGCAGTGAGTTTAAAACAGAATCTCTCTGCCAATGTCTCCATCAAAAATGCATAGATAATTTATGCACAAGGAAGCACTTTTTCTGATCGTTTAAACCTTGTTTAACTAAATCAAGGTGTTGTCATTTATTTCTGCTTGTCTACTGTGTAATTTAAAGATTTGGTCCTTGTTTACATTATGGTGGCTGGGTAACAGTTATGGAATTATCTTTACGTACATCTTTGACAAGTTAAATCATAAACTTAAATTAACTTAAAATATGTAAACTGTGGGAAACTAGATAAGATTTTTAGTAAAACCTTAAATACAAATACTAGTTTATTATCTACGTTTTATTGAAATGTATGATCTAACCTGTAACACTTTATCTAGCATTATGTGAACAATACTTATACTTATATACTTTTTTGTGTATACTTTACTTACAGACGTGGACAAAATAGTTGGTACCCCTCTGGCAATGAAAGAAAAATCAACAATCATCACTGAAATAACTTGAAACTGAGAAAAACAATAATAAATAAAAATTTACTGAAAATTGCCCAACAAAAATCAAACAATGTTTTTTATCTGTCATTCAACAGGATTATTAGAAAAAACTAAATAATGAAACTGGCCTTCATAAAACTGATGGTACCTTAATGTTATATTTTGTTGCACAAGTTTTAAGGCAAACTCTGCAAACAAATGATTTCTGTAACTGTCAATGAGACTTCTGCTCTGGTCAACAGGTATTTTAACCCACTTCTCATGAGCAAAATGCTCTAGTTGCCTTTAGGTTTGAAGAGTTCCTTCTCCAGAAGCATGTTTCAGCTCCTTTCACAGATGTTCAGTAGAATTGAGATCTGGACTCACAGAAGAACACTCCAGAACAGTCCAATGTTTTGTTCTTAGTCATTCTTGTGTGTTTTTAGCTGTGTGTTTTGGGTCATTATCCTGTTGGAAGACCCATGACCTACGACTGAGACTGAGCTTTCTGACACTAAGCAACACATTTCATTCCAAAATACCTTGATAGTTTTGAGATTTTGTTGTACCTTGCACAGATTCAAGACACTCTGTGTCAGATGCAGCAAAACAGCCCCAGAACAAAACCAAACCTCCTCCATGTTTCACAGTAGGGACAGTGTTCTTTTCTTGGTCTGCTTCAGTTTTGAGTCTGTGAACATAGAGCTGATGTGTCTTGCCAAAGAGCTTCAGTTTTGTCTCATCTGTCCAAAGGACATTCTCCCAGAACCTTTGTAGCTTGTCAATGTGCAGTGTGACAAATTCCAGTCTCACTTTTTTATGATTTGCTCTCAGCAGTGGTGTCCTCACATGAAGTCCACTTTGGCTTAATCAGTGATGGATGGTGTGATCTGACACTCATGTACTTTGCCCTTCAACTTCACATTTCATTTCTTCTGAGGATGTTCTGGGCTCTTTTGTTCCATTTGTATGATCCATCTCTTCAATTTGTCATCAATTTTCCTCTTGCAGCCACGTCCAGGGAGGTTGGCTTCAGTCCTGTGGACCTTAAACTTCTGAAGAACATGTGTAACTGTAATCACAGGAAAATCAAGCTGCTTGGAGATGGTCTTATTGTCTTTATCTTTAACCTGCTTGTCTCTCATTTTCTTTCTAGTCTCCTGACACAGTTCTCTTCTTCTCTTCCTCTGCTCCATGTTCAGTGTTGTGTCCATCATGTCTTCAAACAGCATAATGACACATGTCCCCCTTTAAACAGACAGACTGACTGAGGACAAGTTTGAAGAACCTGTGATACAGATTAGAGACACACTGAAGTTTAACATGTCCCTATTGTTTAGTTACTTACAATCTGTTCTAGGGGAAACATAATTTTTGTCCAAGCCAGTTTCATTATTATTATTATTATTATTATATTTTTTTTAATAATAATTCTGTTAAACAACAATTCAAAAACATTGTCTGATTTCCACTGGTTATTTGTCAGAAAAAATGTATTTATTATTGCTTTTCTCAGTTTCAAGTCATTTCAGTGACCATTGTTGATTTTTCTTTCCTTAACAGAGGGAACCAACAATTTTGTCCACATCTGTATATTAAAGACACTGTACCTGATTCTTACTATCTTAAAAACATGAAACACAGAATGAGTTCATGACTTACCTTATGCATTCTGAGTTTATAAGCACAACTCTCAGAGCCAAGAGTTGAGTTTTGCTGTGATGCTAAATCTAATAAGCTAACCTCGCTTATCAGACAATAAAATGCTTTATAATAAGATGCAGACACTAGATTTATAATACTATATATATATATATATATATATATATATATATATATATATATATACACACACACACACACACAATGTTTATACAAGATATCTGTACTGCAGCAAGACACATTTTATTCAAATACATTGGAAAAATGTGTTTTGTTTTTCTCCTGTTCTGTTCAGAGATGTGCGCAAGTTTAAAGACACAAAAAAGCAGTTTGACCGGGTGAGAGAGGACATGGAGATGGCTCAGGTGAAGAACGCCCAAGCTCCAAAAAACAAGGCCCATGAGGCAGAGGAGGCGAGCCAGGCACTGGTACTGAGCCGCAAGGCCTTTAGGCACATCGCACTGGACTATGTCCTACAGGTAATCCTCTCCTCTGACTCTCCTGCACCTCTGACCCTCTCTCCTGCTCCTCTGATCCTCTCTCCTGCTCCTCTGACCCTCTGACCCTCTCTTCTGCTCTGATCTTCTCCTTCTGACCCTCTCCTCTGCTCTTTTGACTCTGTCCTCTGCATGTAAATAATATTCATCCACTCATTTATAGCCATAGCTTAGAAATACTAAATTATGATGATAAAATTTTCTAAAGTTGTAGACATTTAAACATGTTATATTACAGATTATTTTAAACATATTATTTTTCTGTTGTCATGTGCTTAGATGTTCTGCCCAGTAGGGGGCAGTACTGATCTATTCTATTCCACAAATGAGTTGACGCCTACACATAAAACACCTTATTTACAAAATGTGATAATTGTCCAGTCCACTTGTATTTCTATAGCACATAACGAAACAAATCAACACATTATTTTGAAAATTGTATGAGCCTAGATTTACAATTACAATGTCAAATCAATGCATATTTAGTGAAAGTAAATCCTTGTGCTCTGTTTTCTTGCAGATCAATGTTCTTCAGGCCAAGAAGAAATTTGAGATCCTGGACGCGGTGAGGGCATCATGCTCCTGTTTAAACTGATGTTCTTTGTTTCATCCCTATGTTTTTTATACATTTTGTTTTTTTTCTTTTTGTGTGTGTGCAGATGCTGTCGTTCATGAGAGCCCAGTATTCTCTGTTCCAACAGGGTTACACCATTTTAGACGAGATCCACCCGTACATGAACAAGCTCGCCGGACAGGTCAGCAACACAGTTATGCACTCAGAACATACTTGATCTGACTCAGAATGAGAGGGCATCTGGCACCAAGAGATATAGAAAGATGGGAGGGCCAACAGAAGAAAAATAGCCCCTCTTTGTAGTTTCCTTTGGACAGGAAGGATACAAACCCTGCCATAGAAAATTTACATATTAAAGCTTTAAAATGACAAATAAATTCTTCTCTAATTGGTATTTTGTTTTTCTGCAGCTGGACCAGTTGGTGATCGACTCTGCGATGGAGAAGAGAGAGATGGAGCACAAACATGCACTGATTCAACAAAGGGTCAGTACTTTATTTTATTAAGTAAGAGAGTAAGTTTAAAAAATATATATTTGGGGAAACTACTTCTCAAGAAAGAGTACCTTAAAGAGTAACTGTTAGGACGTAACATCTGATTTATAATTTAAATTTAATATAATTTGAAGGACAAAAAAACAAATACATCAAGCACAAAGTATGTTTTTTGTTTTGTTTTTGTTTTTGTATAGACCAAAAAATGGAAGAACGCTACAGAGCAGTTTCAATTTCCAACAATGTAAAGGTCCTATATTCCTCTTCTGTTACCTCTTGCTATTACCTTCTCAAAAACAGTCCTGGAGTTGTGTTTTGTTTCATTCACACATGTTTGATTAACTCTTTATTATTAACCTGTCTACATCTCCAAAACTCAAAATGCTCTGTTCCACCTTGTGATGTCATGAAGTGGTAGTTTTTAAGTGAACAGCTCCTCTTACCTTAAGTTTAGTAGAGATTGGCAAATCCAGGGCTGCAATTATCCAAATAATTTTAGTGAAGGTGTATGGAGTTTAAAAACACAGTGGAGCACTTTCTGTATTACCATATGACATCACAAGGTGGAACAGAGTTTTTTGTTTGTGAGAATAACTCATCCCAGAGTGTTAAACATGTGCGAATGAAACAAAACAGGTTTGTTTGTGGTGATAGAAACTACGTTAGAACTTTAAGAGTTACTTCTACTTTTTATTACCACAATTTCAAGTATTTTAGACATTACTTAGACCTTTTAACCTAAATGTGTCCAAACAACTTCTTGAGTACATGATATTTCTCTAATTTCCCCCTTAAAGTACTGTCTGTCTTGTTCAACCTTGGCTTTATAAAAAGAGCAACTGTGGACTCAGCTCCTATAGAACATCTGGGGACATGACTGAACCTGAGCCACATCCAGCTGGAATGCTGTAGGTTAGAATCAAGTGAAATGTTAAAGAGGGAGTATTATGCAAAATCAATTTTTTTGGAGCTTTCTATCATGTTATAACAATGTTCCCGCCTGAAGAACTTTTAGAGATCATCCATTCATGTTTGAGTATATCCCGGGCCCTGGTCAGACCCTCTTTATGGTTTGTGGTACAATTTTGTACAATTCCTATGTCACCATGCAAAGGCAGGATACAAAACTACATACATGCATAAATATACCAAAACAGGATACAAAACTTTAACAACTTAACAAACCTGATGTGATGTGCAGTTTCATTAGTGGCACTGGAGTCCTGCCTAATTCTATTTTTTCTGTTGTTCCTGTCCTTACAGCGCTATTAACAGCCTGTTCAGAATATAACAGAAAATATCCTATCATGTATAATCCCACAAAGAGTAACATCGTGATTATGAGGAGGAAACAATATAAACATATGAACTTTCCTTTAAATGATGTGATCAGTCTCTTGAACCACTCAGTCACTTTGCAACCGATGATTGGCACATTGACAGAGACATCAAGAGGCAGTATTGTCAACTGTATGCCCATGTATGTCACTGTACTCCACTGTACTCCACTGTACTCCACTGTACTACCACTGTACTACACTGTACTACACTGTACTACACTGTTCTACACTGTACTCCACTGTACTACTGTACTACTGTACTACTGTACTACACTGTACTGTACTACACTGTACTACACTACTGTACACTGTACTACTGTACTGTACTACACTACTACACTGTACTACACTGTACTACACTGTACACTGTACTACACTATACTACACTGTACTACACTGTACTACACTGTACTACACTATACTACACTGTACTACACTGTACTACACTGTACTACACTGTACTACACTGTACTACACTACACTGTTCTACACTGTACTACACTGTACTACACTGCACTCTGTGGGACTGTGGGACTGAGGACATGGGACCTTCCTCAGGCTCAGTGTGGCCGACAATGATGCCTTTAGTCTTCTGCTGCAGGTGCCCAGTTGGCACTGTGTAAGTCAGCTGTTTGTGGACGCTGGCATCCTCTGAACCCGTGAGGCCCTGCTCACACTCACTTCCTCTGTACCTGAGGCTCAGCTTAGATATTTGACATACACACTTAACGCTGCACCTGAAGGGTAAGACAGAGACTCCACACTCTTTAATGAACTTTAAGGATACATTTAGTTCCCTTGTATTGCATTTTCAAAACAATAAAAGGATGGGGACCTAAATATGTGTTAGCAGTTAATACTCCATAGAAGTAAGATGCTTCTGTCTGCACCTCTGATGCTCCTGTCAGTTATCTATGACCACACACAGTTCTGGCAGGTGGACAGAATCTCTCTCTTAAGTCTCCATTCACAAACAGCTCAGATTTGGCTCGTGTTTGGTCACAGATGGAGGATTGTTCAGCATCTGTGCGTTTGGAAACTACATTTACAACTTTACAGCCAAAACAAAAACAGGTCTTTCAGCGTGGCTTCCACCACCTGTCCCATGAAGCTCCATATTGCTATGTTTCAGACATCACAACATTTTATAAGACAATCATATTTAAAGGACCCATATCACGCGATTTTCTGATCTATTCTGTTTTATTATAATGTAGCTTCCTCATCATAAACAGACCTGGAGTTGTGTTTTGTTTCATTAATATGTTTAACACCAAAACTCTGCATGTTTAGCTCTTCTCGCAAACAAAAACACTCTGTTCCACCTTGTGATGGCAATACATGTGCTCCACTGTGTTTTTAAACTCCATACATCTTCACTAGAATTATTATTATTGCATTATTTCAGACGTGGAATTGCCATACTCTACTGAGCTAAAGGTCAAAGGAGCCATGAACTTTAAACTAACACTATTTGACATCACAAGGTGGAACAGAGCATTTTGAGATTGGGAGATGTAGACGGACTAATAATAAAGAGTTACTCAAACATGTGTAACAAAACACAACTCCAGGTCTGTTTTTGAGCAGGTAACTACATTTTAACATGACTTAAAGCTCACAGGAGTCAATTGTGTGTAACATAAGACCTTTAACATGCAGATTTGTGTTGTATTACAGTGAGTTCTTGGGTCTAGATCAAGCACAACATTTGTGATTTTACCTTTTGGACATTTCATGGTAAAGTACAATGTAATCAATAGGGAAAACTGTCTCTGTCCCCATTTGAGAGTATGACATCATCATATTCTACAATCAGACAAAAACATATTTTTGAATCATATTTTCAGATTAGTAACTGAAAACAAAATAATACTTCTTTCACTGAATACTTTCTAATCCTTTTTTATTTTTGTCTCTCGTCACATATGGCTGACCCGCTGGACTTCTGCAGACTCTGATGCAGGTGAGTGCAGCTTTCAGTATTCAAGCCAAATATACAAGGACTAAACAGGGCCTCTTGCTCTCTCACACAATGTTCACCTTACTCATGTAATCGTCTATAGTATTGTATGCAGCTGTAAATGCTGTAGGTAATATAAGGTGATATGAGGTTATGTAAGGGAATGTAAGATATAGTAAGAGGATATAAGGTTATGTAAGATCATGTAAGGTGTAAGTTAATTTAAGGACTTTGACACCACTAGTTTGATTATTTGGTTCGCACCAGACAATAAAATTGTTATTGTGTAACATATAAACTCCAGTGTGGTCCACTTTCACACCTGTAAACCAACTAACACTGGGTTGGGGGCGCCGAGGTGCAGGGGCCCATCACCGCGGCCGATACAGGGAAACTGTGAATGGCTCATTAAATCAGTTCTGGTTCCTTTGGTCGCTCTACAGTTACTTGGAGCATGTTTGCCCACAGTTCGAGGTTTGCCCCATGTCTCCTTCACTCAACACAAACAGGAAATTAAATAATTATTATCTCGTATGATACATCTTGAATAGTTGGTTTGGACCTACTGTCTTTGGTGTTCTCACTAGAGGGACTTCACAAAAGTTTGGCATTTGGTGCGGAGTCAAGCAGACCACCTCTTTTTTGAGGTCTCAGTCCAGTTGATTTAGTGTGGATCTGAGTGCGATTTAAGCTTTCACACTAACAAAAATGAGCTGAACTAAGAGCTTCTGGTCCTAATGGAATATTTGGTGCACACCAACTGCTGTCTCTGTAAAAGAACCCTTAGATAATGAAAGGTGATGTGTGTTTAGCTTTAGCCTGGGCTTCTGTGTGAGGCTGTTTTTCTTTGCTGCAGATGAAACTTTTGGCTCTGATTCAAGGTTTAAACCTGTAATTATGAGCTCAAACAAAAAAAAAAAAACACCTTTGTATGAGTCATGTGATCTTAATGCAAGTGCTAATTATGACACAAGACAGTTCCCAGTTATTCAGATGAACAGGTTACAGGTATTATTCTGAAGAAACCAAGAGTGATCAGCTGCAGGAATAACGTTGGCTCACTGCAAGCTGTTTAAAATGAACTTGTTTTGTTTCGATTTGTTTTTGAGATAGTACAGAGACTTTAATATATCCATATGGATGTGTAGCTGAGGCTTTCTCCTCAAACATCTGCTCCTAATTTATCTGCTGACCAGTGTTTCCACCGTCCTCCCAGTCACAGAGAAAAGACGTTGTTAAAGCAATGCAAATCAACCAGAGGCTGTATTCAAGACCTGCTGCTGTGGTTCGCCTCTCCTCCGCTCAGTGTAGACGCTGTGGCTTAGACTCCTGATCTGTCTGAGTGGAGTGTGCATGTCCTCCCTGTGCTACTGTGCTGATCCTGGTGTGGGTTAGACTCCTGCTTGTTTCTTTGCTTCATGTGGCATTAAAGACTCGATATGACTCTATTTTCTGATCTATGTTTTAACATAGTTTCCTCATCACAAACATACCTGAGTTGTGTTTTATTTCATTCACACATGTTTAACACACAAACTCTGCATGTTTGAGTTCTCCTCTCAAACAGAAAACACTCTGTTCCACCTTGTGCTGTCATGTTGTAACACAGCTCCACTGCTCCTCTGTGTTTAGAAACTACATACACCTTCACTAGAATCATTTGGATGATTTCAGCCCTGGAATTGACGATCTCTAATGAACTAAAGGTAAAATGATAAATGGTAAATGGTCACATTTGTCTATAGCGCTTTTCCACCTTCAAGGCACTCAAAGCATTTTACAACAAGGAACCACTCACCCATTCACACGCACATTCACACACCAGTGTACGCAGACACTGTGGGCAAGGTGGGTTAAGTGTCTTGCCCAAGGACACAACAACAGCATTCATCTGTGGGAGCTGGAATCACACCAGCCAACCTGTGGGTCAGTGGATCTGACCGTTCAGCCTGTGATGTTTATGTCAAGAGCTGGAATCGAACTGCCAGCCCTAAAAGGAGTTGTTCACTTCAAAACTACCTCTCCGTGGCATCACAAGGTGGAATATTGTGTATTACAAGGACATGACTGAGGTGACGTCGCCAGGGCAAGTTACAGGTCAGATCTGTGGAGAGACACTTGTTTTTATTGTTTGAGCATTATATGTTGCAGTGCAGAGTCATTTTGTCTCTACAATATGTTACGAGAACAGTCACTTTAGGTTTATTTATCAAATATTAAAGCCAATCTGGTCAAAAGAATGTGACCTTATAGAACCCCACCTCCCTCCCTCTCTCCCTATCTCTCCCTCTCTCCCTCCTCTCATCCCATCCCTCTTTTCCCATCCTCTTCCACTTCCTTTTCCTCCTCCCCCACTTCCTCCAGCCTGTATAGACATGTGTATTGTGTCCATTATTGTGTGTTTTGTGTTAGAGTGGCTCCCTGGGGCACAGTTTCACCTCCTCGCACTCCTCTGCCTTTGTCATGACTTTGAACCATCAACTTTTATCTCAGTCTGAATGAAACAAAACAAGAAACAAAACAGAACTGATCAGTACCAAATATGAACTTTTTAAAATCATATCGATCACTATCCACGGGAGGAGGGGTTTTCAAACTGTCCTTCTTTTTAGTCATTTTAGGTTTTGTGCAAATAATATAGGACGTTTTCACACCTTGTTCTAGTTCCTAATGTAAAAGACAAAACTAAATCTGGAATAAACCAGGTCTAAACCAGCTCTCAAACCAGTCTACATCATGTGTAAAGCAACAAAGACAAAGCCTGGGCCTGTGTTGCATCATTTTCTGATCTCTGCTAGAATGCAGTTTGCTCACCACAAACATACTTGGATTTGAGATTCAGCCACTGTTCCACCTTGTGATGTCATGTGGTCATACAGGAAATACTCCACCACATTTTTAAACTCCACACACCTTCACTAAAATCAAAACTTTGAATGATTTCAGACCTGGAATTTCCAGTCTCTACTGAACAAAAGTTAAAAAGTAGCTACCATCTAAAAAAAAAAAAAAAAAATACTGCTTCATGGCATCACAAGGTGGAAGAGAGCATTTTGATCTTTGGAGTTATAGACAGACTAATAATAAAGGGTTACTCAAAAATGTGTGAAAGAAACAAAACACAGCTCCAGGTCTGTTTTTGAGGAGGGAACAACAACTTGGCTTAAAGCTCACACGAGTCGATTTTGTATAATATCGGACTTTTAAAAGAGAAGTCAATCTACACATTTTCACTTCGTCAACTAACTGAAATAAATAGTCACAGAATCCCAGTGAAACCTAAAATAAATCACTGTTGTTGTGTTTTTGAGCAAGACACTTCAAGCACTATGAATATATGTATGAATACTGAAATTATGACAAATTCTAAACTTGAATTCAAAAACATGAACACAGCCTCTCCATGGCGTTTAGAATGTTGAAACTCTGGAAAACGAAGCATTATTTTTCAGTGTTTAAAAAGCTGCTCTCAGTGTTTTTATTCAGTACAAATCAGAATGATGGACACAGAATCCACTGACTAGATTTGATCATCTGTCTTAAATTACCAGCCCGATTTAGCATCTTAGCTGAGATTTGTGAACATATGTCTTATTCTTTGATAGTGAACAGTTGTGTGGTGGATTCTCTTGTTGATTTAAGGCGGTGTGCTGATTTAAGGTTGTCTGGGTGTCAGCGCAGTAAAGTCAGCCTGATTACACACACACACAGCCCCCAGATGGAGCATCGCGCTAGGGTGTAACCGAGACACAAACAACCCTTTGGAGTGGTTTACTGGGGTCACCATACTGCCTTAAATCTGTGTGTGTCACTATGTATACCACCTTAAATCCAGCTTTAGAATATGTGATCGTGTTACAATGCACATATTGCTTTGGTTTAGTTCTGGTTTGGTTCTGGTTTAGACTTAATCCTGGTTTAAGAAGATTTAGACCTGATTTAGTCCTGGATTACTCCTGTTTTAGTTTAACCTTTATTTGTCCCATGATGGTGGAATTTCAAAGTTGCAACAGAAAGCACAAAATCGAAATATGTAGTAAAACATCAAGAGAAATAACTACTGAAATATAGACCTTAAAAATATTCAAATAGAACATTAAAATGTACTTTTAATAAAATAAAACTTGAAATAAAAGTGTAACTTTTTAGCCAAAAAATAAAACCCCAGAAGTTTTTTTTTTGTTTTTTTTTTCATTTTGGTTGTGTTTATTGAATTAAATCATGCGTCCTGACTTTGAGAGGGCTTGCATCTCCACAAACCTGACTCTTATTTGGCCTGGAGGAGGTGTTACATAGTGCTTGTTTAGCCTTTAGTAGAGTCATTGTAGGTCCTTGTTAACACCTGGTTTTTGTCTCGGTTTTCTTTGGATCTAGTAGTTTAGTAATGTTCGAGTCCTGATCTAGTTCCAATCCTGGTCTAATCCAGAGTCCAGGTCTAGTCCTAGTCTAGTGCCGGTCTAGTCCTGGCCTAATCCTGGTCTAGTCCTTGTATTTTCATTTTCCCTCCTGTCCACATGAGCCCACTCCATGCTTTGATGTGGGGTCAAAGGTCATAGGGCACAAGTACAGCTGTATGCTAATGAGCGGCTAAAGTTTACTGAGCGTGTGCAGAAGAGAGACGACGTGGGAGGGGGGTACAAGAGGAGCTTTTTAAATACAACTGCACTTCTTGTAGTTTTCAGACCTCATACTTTTACTCCTACTTGAGTGTTATATAGTACAGTGTAAGAGTACTCTTACTTGAGTAATAGTACAGTGTAAGAGTACTCTTACTTGAGTAATAGTACAGTGTAAGAGTACTCTTACTTGAGTAATAGTACAGTGTAAGAGTACTCTTACTTGAGTAATAGTACAGTGTAAGAGTACTCTTACTTGAATAAAAGTTGTACTGCATTTCGTCTTCCCTCTGTGACTGAATCTTAAGTGACAAAAGTTTTATGTGACAATCTGAAATGATTTGAACATTTGTGTTTCTTCTTCTTAGATTGTTTCATTTTTGAGTCTGTCCATTAACAGACTCAGTGACTTTGTTCATGGTTAGTCCAACAAGTTACATCAACTTCAAATTATAAATCAGATGTTACATCCCAACACTTACAATTTAAGTTGAGCACTACTTTTCCCAAATACATTTTTACCTTTTTTTATTCCTACTTCTGTTTGAGTCATATTGTTTTGAAGTACTGGTACTCTTACATTAATACATGTACAGGTACTGTAGAGCACATGTGGAGAGCGAGGCAGAGCATCCAGGGGGAGAGTAAAGTGTGTGTCTTTATAGTGACGTACGTTTTGACAGTCGCATGTTAATGAGACGACAGTTTAAGCCTTTTTTCAATTTAGTTTCATGAAAATGGACTCAGTAAAAACTGAAAGACAGATTGTTAAAGGGTCCATACTGGGCCATTTTCTCATGTCTGATGTGGGTTCCTCATCACAAACACATAAGTTTCATTTGTTTCATTTGTACATGTTTAACACACAAACTCTTCACATTTAGGGTATTTAGAGTCAAAAATAAAACTTTCTGTTCCATCTTGTGATGTCATGTGGTGAAACAGGAAGTGCTCCACTGCGTGTTTAAACTCCACACACCTTCATAAGAATCATTTGGATCATTTCAGCTCACTGCCTGTCTCTATTGAACTAAATGTAAAACATAATAACGGAGCTGTTAACTTGAAAACTACCACTGCATGACATCACAAGGTGGAATAGAGCATTTTACGCTTTAGGGATGTAAGCAGACTAATAATAAAGGGTTACTTAAATGTGCAAATGAAACAAACACAACTCCAGGTATGTATGAGGAGGTAACATCATTTTAAAAAATGGCTTACAGCTCATAAGAAACAAGTTAGTGTAATCTAGGACCTTTAATAAGTAATTCCCATTTTAAAGCAGTTTTTAATGTTAATTATACTCTTTAATATTCACATTTCATTAGAACTTGTTTACGGCGACACACATTGTTAAACTTTTATATTTTGAACCTATTTTTGTGGGGATGGGGTCATTTGTTTTGAGCTTTCTTTTCAAAGACCTTGTCACTTGTTCTCTGAAAAACTGGCAACCCTGGAGGAGGCAGTGGGGGGGAGGCAGTGGGGGTGTCAGACAGAGGAGGAGTGAATGAACACGCGTGTCTCTCTTTCAGACCTGTGGAGTCGCAAACATAGTTCCATGTCATACACACAAACAGAGTTCTATTTATTGTAACTTATTTTATTTTAACTTAACTTATTCTTAACTTATTGGTGATGCTTTTTGATTGGACAATGCTTTTGGACGTAAACTCACTGAAGATGTTTTTTGGGAGGTTGGACGATGCGTTGGTGAGAAAACTATAACACATATAACTCTTTTTTTTTTTGTTAGATTAAAACTGTCTGGAATAATGCCAAACTAAATGTACACTAAAGGTGTACTGTGTAACTTTTTCTGGTGTTTGTTTTATTCACTTGTTTTGCCTAAAATATTTTACAGTTTAAAGAGACAATGTTGTTTTCTGATCTTTGTTATAATGTTGCTTCTTCACATAAACAGACCTGGAGTTGTGTTTTGTTTCATTCACACATGTTTAACACACAAACCCTGAGTTCTTCTCTCAAACAGAAAACACTCCATTCCACCTTGTAATGTCATTAAATGGTAATACAGCAAGTGCTCCACAGTGTTTTTAAATTTTATACACCATCACTAGAATGATTTGAACATTTTCAGCCCTGACATTGCCAGTCTCTATTCAACAAAAGGTAAAAGAAGCTGTTAACTTGAAAACTACCACTACATGACATCACAAGGTGGAGCAGAGCATTATAGATGTAGACAGACTAATAATAAAGGATTACTCAAAAGGTGTGAATGAAACAAAACACAACTTTAAATGTATATATCAAATCAACTACAGATGTTTTTATTTTTCCAAAATACCTTGAAAAGCATGCATTCTTACAGTGAGTGAGTGAGCCTCTCCACAGATCTGACTTGATGAGATGATGAGTTTAATGTAATTTAGTAACTTCTGCATCAAAACCATAAGGTGGCAGAGCCTTCACTAGAAAAAATAATGTTGCTTTAAGTACTGAGTAATATAATAATAAAAGGTTGGACCATTGTCTGAAGAGTGGCTGTAGCAGATTGGTTGATAGGTTTAAGTTCAGTTTAGTCCTGATGAACATGAGGTTTGGTCCTGTTGGAGTCCTGGTCTAGTCCCACGTGTTATGTGTTTGCACCTGTTGTGACACATTTTCATTTAGAGATGTCCCCTGTCCCTCTGTCTGGAGTCCCCTCCCTTCCCCCTCCCTCTCTCTCCTCTCTTTCAGCAGTCTTCCATCTGTCCTTAGCAGCAGGTCTAATCTCACCTGAACAAATGAGTCTTTAAAAACCTGAAACTTGAACTTGTTCTGATTGTGAGCCTCACTGAGCAGGAGGCATCTGTTTATCCCCGAAACTCCAGACCTTCTACACCAAACTGATGAAAATGATCTCCCTGTAAAACGCGTTTTTTAAAAAAAATCTTAAACAAGAGCTATTGTGCCTGTGTCTGCTTTATAAATACAATCTATGACACCTGTGGATCATTATGTTATAATTTGAAAAAATCACAATATTGATCTAAAAAACTGACTTCTGCATTACAAAACTGCGGTGCCCAGTGGGAGCTGATGTCGACTTAAATGTCATAAAAGTTTTTTGAGTGAAGACGTTTGCTCGCTCAAGCAGCTTCATTTTTGAGTGTCCAAAAAGTGCTGAATATAAATCAAAAGTATTTGTATTGCTCTCCATTGAACAGGAGTGAAACAGTGAGACCTGTTTCCTGCAGCTGGTCGTCTCTTTGTCACATGAGTATTTTTTGCCTGCAGGATTTCTCGTACGATGACCCAAAGCTGGAGTTTAACGTAGATGCGCCCAATGGAGTGGTGATGGAGGGATACCTGTTTAAAAGAGCCAGCAACGCCTTCAAGACATGGAACAGGTCACAGCTCATAAGATGTGAACATCTGTGTAGTTTACACTGAGTTTATACAATTTATAACTATAGATATTTTTTAGACAATATCAGCACTCTCCAAAAATAACCCAAAGAAGTCTTATATTATTACACAAGGCTTACTGTTTTCATGCCAAATACTTAAAGCCCCACTGTGTAACTTTCTAACCAAAGTATAAACTAAAGTAAAAGCTTAGGGAGGGCCTCCTGCTTGTTTTCATAAAAATGTTGTTCCTTTGGCTATAATCATCCCCAGTATGTCATAAAATATATATATATTTCCATTTAGAATATTTTGAAGTATGAGTTTAACTTTCTGTTTTCATGGAATCATGCATGTGTCTTGCCATCTCCAGAAAGTTACACGGTCTTGCTTTACTTCAGGAGTAGTATTTAATAGTATTAAATAGTAATAGTAATAGTATTTATTTAGTATTTAATGAAATATTAAGTATAAAATGTACCAAAGTGTAAAACATTTGACACTGTTCATCATCAGTGGTCCTGTTCTAGCTCTTGTGGTCTGATGTGTCTCCTCTCTTTGCTGTAGACGGTGGTTCTCCATACAGAACAGTCAGCTGGTCTACCAGAAGAAACTGAAGGTAAACTTTCACCTTTCATTTTTATTATTGCCCCAAAGGGGGTACAGCAGTGTCAGACATACAGTATATACACAGTAAATTCAATAATATACTTACCCACAGCTTAAACTTAATAAATGCATTCTCTTAAAATTAAACAAAAAGAACAGAAGATGTAACCACATTTCACCATGAATGCTCCATGCTATAAGAGCATTCATTCTAGTTATGGCTTCAGAAAGAGGAAGTCTGAGCTCCAAGAGTCCTGACTTTAATATAGTCCCTGTTCTCATTCAAATGGACTTCTAGATTAATCCAGTCACTATTCTCTCCTTTATGTCAGTATTCTCTCCTATAGGACTCTCTGACAGTATTAATAATAATAATAAATCCCCTGTATTCTTCATAGGACTCTTTGACGGTGGTGGTGGAGGACCTGCGGCTCTGCTCAGTCAAACCGTCTGAGGACAACGAGAGGAGGTTCTGCTTCGAAGTCGTTTCACCCACAAAGTCAGTCCAACATTTACTGTATTTAAATATATAACTAATATTTGAATATACTAATGATCTCATATTTATCAGTCTCACTTTTTGAATATGTTTTGCGTATTTGCAGAAAACAATTGCCTATATAGATTTCCTTGACATAAACAATACAGATTGTCAATCATTCCCATTTCAAACTAAAATTTAATTTGTTGTTGTGTGTAGGAGCTGTATTAAACATGTGTGATTGTTGTTGTGTGTAGGAGCTGTATTAAACATGTGTGATTGTTGTTGTGTGTAGGAGCTGTATTAACATGTGTGATTGTTGTTGTGTGTAGGAGCTGTATTAAACATGTGTGATTGTTGTTGTGTGTAGGAGCTGTATTAAACATGTGTGATTGTTGTTGTGTGTAGGAGCTGTATTAAACATGTGTGATTGTTGTTGTGTGTAGGAGCTGTATTAAACATGTGTGATTGTTGTTGTGTGTAGGAGCTGTATTAAACATGTGTGATTGTTGTTGTGTGTAGGAGCTGTATGCTTCAGGCTGAGTCAGAGAAGCTGAGACAGGCCTGGATCCAGGCGGTGCAGGCTTCCATCGCCTCGGCTTATAAGGACATTGGAGACAACTATTATGCAGAGGTACTACTATTATAATATTAATAAAACACTTCTATAATACTTAAAATACTCCATATAGAGACATCAGAGACATAAATCAACTTCAGACCACCCCATTCAAAGCCTTGTACCCATTTTTTCCCCCATATCTTTGAGCAAAATGTGACTTGCTCCAGTACAGATCTACTGTATGAGCAGCTCTTGAGGTCAAAATAAGTCCTCTATGTACGATGTCTGCATCTCATCTCCACTCTGGTCTCTGAAACTTGTGAAAAGTGCTTATAAACTCACTGTGGTGAATAATTAGGATGTTCAAACTTTGGACCACTGCAGACCATTTAAAATGAACTACAGTAGTTCTGTATTTTTTTCCCTTTTCAAGACAATCAAAATCAGGCACAGAGCTTTTAACATACCATATTTTCCGGGCTATTAGACACGCACTTAAATCTCCAACCCCATCAGACAACGACTGGACGCCCCACAATCCAGAGCACCCTATACACGAATCCACTCGGGTGTCCCAGCACGACTTCAGTAAACTACAAAGCCGCACCACCCACAGAACACACAAACACACACAGAGCAGACAGCGACCGCACAGCGAAAAACACCCACAGACACACTCATCACTCCACGCCGACGAGGAACGAAACGGAGGAACGAACCGAAAAAGCGAGTGCAATGTGCCACTTCTAGACACAACTGAACAACTGAGTCACAAACACGCCAACATTATCCAGCGGTCCCAGACAGCACCCTCCCTACACGCCACAACTGAACAAAGCCCAGAGTCACCGTGAACGCCACAAACAAACAAAACCACTCACCCATCACACTGTTGTGTTTCCTTTAAATTCCCATGCGGTTTATTTGTGAAAAAAGTTCGAAGATAGACCATTTAATGACAGTGCGCCTTATAATCCAGAGCACCTAATAGCCTCGAACATACGGTAATTTCTAACCAGTTCTGTTCTTATTCCCTCTTTAGCGTTTAGACCGAACAGCGTCCCCCTCCACCAGCTCAATTGACTCCGCCTCCGAGCCAAGGGAAAGGGTTATGGAGCGCGCTCAGTCCAGAGGGGGGGAGGGGCTTCTGCAGAGGGTCCAGACTCTGCCCGGTAATGAGGTGTGCTGCGACTGTGGCCAGAGTGCCCCCTGTTGGGCCTCCATCAACCTGGGCATCCTGCTGTGCATCGAGTGCTCTGGCATCCACAGGTACAACACCACTGTCTTGGTAATGATCAGTGAGCAGTTCAAGGTCTAATATTACACAAAAGTGACTGTTGTGAGCTTTAAGCCATGTTAGAATGTTGTTACTGCCTCAAAAACAGAGTGACACTGACACTTGACAAATATACAGAGCACAAATCACCCACAGATTCCTGGAAACTCAGAATGCTTAAAATCAATCAACATTTTATTTCTATAACACCTTCCAATGACCAAAGTTGACCACAGTGCTGTACAACATTAAAACAAGATAAAAAAGAATAAACGTCATACAAACAGGTCAACAAAACACATTACACCATTAAAATAAAGAAAGTGTCACAGGGCCACTAACTGTTAAAAGCCGTTCTAAATAAGTAGGTTTTAAGTTTGGCTTTGAACAGAGGCAGGTCAGGGAATCGACTTTCCCTCATCAAAAACATGCCTGCTTGTTTTCAGCCAAAACGTATACTAAATTAAAATACATTTTCATTTTGGTTGCATTTAATTAGTGTGAAAAACTTTAAGGTTATTCTGTATTTACATGGAATGATGCAGGTGACATGCCCCCTCTGGAAAGTTTCATACTGTAGCTTTAATATTGTGTTATTGTGTTTCAGGAGTTTGGGCGTTCACTGCTCTAAAGTGCGCTCTCTCACTCTGGACTCATGGGAGCCGGAGTTACTGAAGGTACAGCTCTCCTTTAAATTTATATTAGCTTCAATTTTTTTAGTTTAGTTTTTTGTTTAGTTTGACACTTTGACAGAATAACAGCACAGCTGATCTGTCATCTGTCTTTATGTGTCTCTTTCTCTCTCTCTGTCCGTCTTTCTCTTTTCCTCTTGCTCTCCCCTCAATTTTCTCTCCTCTCTCCCTCCTCTCCTTTCTATAAACCTCACCCCCTTTCACTCTCTCTTTCTGTCCCTCCCTCTCTCTTATTTCTCTCTCCCCTTTTCTCTCACTCTGTCTTTATCACTCACCCCTCCTCTCTCTTCCTCTTTCTCCCTCTCTCCTTTTACAGTTGATGTGTGAATTGGGGAACACTGTGATAAACCAGATTTATGAGGCCACATGTGATGAGGTTGGAGCCAAGAAACCTGGCCCCGCCTCCTCCAGGTAAGCCCTGCCCCTTTTTTTGTAAGTCAGCTCTGTAAACAAGTGGATCATCTAGTGCAGTTGTGTTTCTCATGTCAGTATTTGCATAGTGACAAAAAGAGGAGGAGTAGATGTCAGAGCAAGCTGCAGCAAAACTGTGTCAGGAAAGAACTTGGCCTAAAATAGAACTAACTATTTGCTTCTTCAGATGACAATCCTGTGTTTCCTCTGTCCTTGTATTTATTTTTCATACTTATACCATTGTTGTACTATTTTTGTTGTTGAGCACTTTGGTAAGATTTGGCTGTTTTAAATGGGATCACAACATTCTACAGGTCAATGATATTTAATACAGATGGGGGCAGCTCAAATGTTGACGTGAGTTGTAATACAGCAAGTTTTTGGGTCTAGTCGTTAATATAAACATTTGTGGATTTACCTTTTTGGATATTTCAGTGGAAATTACAGTGTCCTCAATCGAAAGCTTTAGCTGATAGGGGATAGGTGAAAACAGACATTTTCTGAGCACTCGAGCCTCAAATGCAGGACAATACAGATTACTCAAACATGCATGAATCAATCTAAATACAACTATACAAACTGAAGATGATGAAATACTGTTTAATATACCTGAGTTGATTTTGCATAATACAGTATATCCTCATTAAAAAGTTACTTTTGGGCCCGGTCAAGCAGAAGTAAACAGCAAGGCCAAAAATTCAAGTTAATGCATCTGATATAAAAATGCATTCAACAGATAGCACATGTACTCTAGTTTATGAAACTGTTTACCTTTTTTCTGTACCATTTTTGGTTCTAAAGTTACATACGTTTTAAACAGACCATGTATGAAACATGGAACAAAAATTATTTCCCAAATTTCAAAGACCTGCAAATCATGTAAATAAATGGATGTATTTCTTGTGATCTTGTGTTATTCCATCTTTGAACTGTTGATGAAGGTACATGATTTTTTTTTTTTAAGTATTTAAAATGATAAAAACTTGCTTGGAAGGACTGACATTTGAAGTAATATTAAAGTATTCGGAAGAAAAAAGATGAGAAACTATGCAAAATCATGCACCTTCTAATTGCTTACACAATTTTCCCTCCGTTACTTTTCCCTCCGTTACCATGACCTTTCTTAATAAAAAGAATTACTCAAAAAGTAAGAAGTTTTTCAACCTAATCTTGTACCATATGGTAGAAAACTATATGAAGCAAATATTCAAACCAGTTTGTTAAGGATATGTAAGTGAGAACCGCTAGTTATCGCTGTTTGTATTTATTGCCCAAAAAGTGCTGCATATTTCATTCCCTCCGTTACCGACATGAGTTTTTAAAATTTTTGTCAACAACTTGAAAGAATATCACAGGTTTAACTTTACCCTGTTGGAGTGTTAACTCTTTCCTACATTCTAATACCTTACTTATTTCAATAGTCTAGTTTCTGAATAAGAGCTATTTGAATGTAAAAAATCTGCCCCTGTTTCCCTCCGTTACCACTTGACCGGACCCATGTATGTTTCCGTGTTCTCCAGGCAGGAGAAGGAGGCGTGGATCAAGTACAAGTATGTGGAGAAGCGCTTCCTGAAGAAGCTAGGGGGCGCTGCGCTGGTGGAGGCTGAGAGGAAACACCGGCCATGGACAGTGAAGAAGTGTCAGAGGAGCAGCGGCTCTATGCGACGTTTGAACAAAACACGCCGGAAATACAAACGATACGAACCGGGGAGCGTGAACGCTGCTAATCTGTCTGCAGGTAACTATGGCAACAGATTTTGGCCCTCACAGACGCATTATTCATTCACTCCACACTCAGTGATGGTAAGACACTACTGTCTTCACAACTGTCTTGGGACAGACTGACCAGTGAGCCGACCACCATCAACACTTACACACCACTTTGATCTTAGACAAGAAGGGTGAAGTGTTTTGCTAAAGAACAAGAGAACACTGATCAAATCTGGGAGCAAACATTTGGGTTGGTGAGTGGTTGGTGATATGATGTACTATCATATCAGCACAAACAGACCTGGAGTTGTGTTTTGTTTAACACGCAAACCTGCATATTTAGACTAGAGTTCTTCTCTCAAACAGAAATCCCTTTGTTCCACCTTGTGATGTCATGTAGTAATACAGGAAGTGCTCCACTGTGTTTTTAAACTATATACACCTAGAATCCTTTGGACAATTTTAACCCTGGAAAAGAATCTCTACTGAGCTAATTATGGAGCATTTAGAGCTGTAGACAGAGTAATAATAAAAGGTTACTCTATAAACATATGTGAATGAATCAAAACACAACTCCGGGTCTGTTTTTGAGGAGGTAATAGCATTATAACATGGATTAAAAATCTGTTTCTTTTTGTCTTTCAGCCGCTGCAGCAAAATTTCGTCGAGATTCCTTGTTCTGTCCTGATGAGCTGGATTCACTGTTCTCGTACTTTGACACTGGCTCTGGCCCCCGCAGTGAGTCCTTTGTTTCACATAACAGCTGTATTATTGCAGGTGTATTTTGGAGTTTTTGATTTCTTCTTCTCTTCCTCAGGTCCGGCCGGTCTTAGTAGCGACTCAGGGCTAGGGGGCAGCACTGATGGCAGCACAGATGTTTTAGCTTTTGGATCTGTTGTGGACAGCGTCACAGAAGAAGGTTTGTGTTTTTGAGAGAAATAAAATAATTACTAGGGCTGGGTACGTTGACGCGTTAATTTTGTGTCAACTAATTGATTCATTATCGCGACAATTATTTTAACACCATTAACACAGTTTTTATTATTTATAAATTTTTTTATTGTATACGTCTGTTTCTCACTGGCTTTTATTTTGAAAAAGTCCACTGCAAGCGTTTCTTTAAGTTTGACGTCTTTTCTTTACACTTTTTTCACTTTTTTCTGACCACGTGAGATGCAACATGTCCGAGCCTCGGCCGCAGGCTCCATCCCCGGTCGTGGGCTCGGCTGCGGGCTCCAGCTCTGGCAGCGGGCTGGTCCGGCCCGGCCAGAGTCCAGTTTAAGGGTCTTTCTTGTTCTTCTACGTCCAAGTAGAGGTGTCCGGTGTGGTTTTCGTCGCTGCGGTCTCACTTACATAATACTTTTACAGGGTATTCATGAAGATCTGGTAGATTTCATGATATGATCCCGCCCATAACTCAATGAAATATGATTGGCTCAGACAACTGTCAATCTCAGACTTCATTACAGTCACCGAAGGCCCTGCAGGAGTTTCTTTAGTTCAGTGCTGCAGGGGGAGTCACTGACTTACCCAGATACCACTGGAATATAAATTGTGATGGGTCCATTTCCATTCCATTATATTAACCCTTTGTGTCCCAAGAAATATCAGTCCAAATTTATAACAATGATCTAGAAATTATTACTAGTGTCGTGTTTATTACTCACTGAATAAAAAATATTGAAAAAATATATTAGTAGTACAAAAATTCATTTAATATTTTTTCTTGAGCCTTCTGAATACCTTGAAGGCTCTGATGGTTCCCCTCTGAAAAAAATGCTGTTTGCACAACAAATGTTTGACTCTTTCATTTACATTTCCAATAAAAGTCACTATACGCTACTTTTTAATTAATTAATTGGTTTTGCGTATAAACATGTGATTAATCGCACTCAAACTCATGCGATTAATGCGATTAATTTTTTAATTTTTTTTTTCCCAGCTCTAATAATTACACATGAATAAAAAAAAAACACTACAAAACATTTTGTACAGTGGAGCTTTCTACCATGTTGTTTGCTCATCAAAAACATGCCTGAAGAGGTTTTAGAGGTCATCCATTCATGTCTGAGGACTTTAACATTCTCTCCCAATCCTGTTCAAACTGTAACTGTAATAAAGGTCTACGTGGGACAGATTTTTCAGTCCCGCCAGCACCCGCGTTATGCAGTCCAGCTCCCACCTGCATCTGCGATAAATTGTCCCACTACCGACATTCACTTTCTAAAGCTCTATCAAACACAGAGAAGCGGAAAGGAATTGTTGGAAATGTGCACGAGATTAGGACCACATCGGCATATTTAGTCTGCTTAAAATGTTTTTATTAATGCCAAGTAAAATATCTAACAAAAATTATGTGTGATAGACAAACATGAATCATTTGTATATTTTACTTTATACTCATATTTAGTTTGTGGGACTGTAGTTTATCATCCACCCCGCATTGTGCTTAGGGTTAGGTTAGGTTAGGTTGCTTTATTCGTACCCGTAGGTAAATTTGCTTTGCAGATTTAAGAGACAGGTTCCACATTTCACATTTCATTCATCCACAAAACACACATAAAAACACGATAAAATGTTACAATAAAGTGTTACAGTGCTCCAGTGCAGAATGGTTTGTTCCATAAACAACCAATTAAAATCATCCAACACACTTGTCTAAAATCACAATAAATAAATCTTAAATATGTTAAAAACACACAATCTTAAATAAATAGATTACAATTTATTCATAAGTATGATAGCAGCCGGAATGAAGCTCCTCTTAAAACGATTCGTTCTAGATCTTGGGACTAAAAACCTCTGACCAGAGGGAAGCAGCTGAAACTCTGAGTTTAGTGGATGTTGCACGTCTCCCAAAATACTCTGGGACATCCTCTGTAAGTGTCTCGAGTACAGAGAGTCCAGACTGCTCTGAGGATAGCCAATCACCTTACTCGCCCATTTAACCAACTGATTCAGGGAGTTCTTGTTTTTAGCAGAAATGCTCCCAAACCACGAGACCAATGAAAATGTTAAAACTGATTCCATAAATGTTTTATAAAACAGTATCATCATGGTTCTCTCTACACGGTAAAAGGACAACTTTCTCAGACAATGAAGGCGCTGGTGGCCTCTTTTACACACACCAGAACAATTATCGTCAAAACTCAGTTTTGAATCAATGATTGTTCCTAGATATTTATATGAGTCCACACACTCAACTGTCTGCCCCTTTATCTCTGTGAGATCACACTGAGGCGCTTGTTTTCGAAAGTCAATAATCATCTCCTTCGTTTTGGATACATTTAGGTATAGATTTGACTCTTCACACCATTTTACAAATTCCTCAACAATTGGCCCATGTTGGTTTTCATTTTTGTGAAGCAAGCTCACAATGACAGAATCATCCGCATATTTTATTATTGTTCTATTCTCATAGGTGCTCTGACACTTATTGGTGTAGAGTATGAACAATAGGAATGAAAGAACGCATCCCTGCGGTGATCCGGTTGATGACACCATCTGGTCAGAAAGAACACCATTCACTCTTACTCTTTGTGTTCTCTGTGTTAAAAAATCAAGAATCCACCCCACAATATTAAAATCAAGGCTAAAATGTTCTAAAAGTCTTTTACAAAGAATATGAGGTTGCATTGTGTTGAACGCAGATGAAAAGTCAATAAAAAGTAGTCTTGCATGCGTTCCAATCCCCTCTAAGTGCTTAAAGAGTAGATGGAGTAAAGTTACTGTGGCATCCTCTACTCCTCTTTGAGGCCTATAAGCAAACTGCATGGGGTCAAGCGCACTCACAGTTTTCCTCAAAATTTCTGACCTTACTAGTTTTTCAAAGTTTTTCATAGCCATTGACGTTAGTGCAACAGGCCTAAAGTCATTAAGGTTTTTGGGTCTGCTCGTCTTAGGAACTGGAACAATCACTGAGTCTTTCCAGATCTTTGGTACTTGCTGTTTCTGCAGAGACAAATTAAAAATGATCTGAAAAATAAAGCTCAGCTCCTTGGCGCAATTTTTAAGAATATGACCACAGATCTTATCTGGACCCATACTCTTTTTTACCTTAGTTGTCTTAAATACACTTTCCACTTGCCTCTGCGAAATGTCACAATGCCGATCTTCGCAGAGCTTACCTTTAAGCTCCTGAACTTCATCATCAAAATCTGAAGTCTCAAACCGAGCATAAAAACAAGTCCTGCTCCCACCTGTGCCCGCAATGTCCAGCGCCACACTGTTTTGCGTCAGGTCCCACGACCCTGCACTCCCTCGGGAGGCTCGCAGTAGTGCAGGGCTCTAAGCTGTAAGATTTGTCCAATGCTCCGCCCACAAGCCTACATCACACACGACAATTCTCCATAAATAGACAAAAACATGACACAAAACTTCAAATTGACAAATCTGTTGTGATGTGCAGTAGTTTCATTTGCGGTATGCACACTGATGGTGTGGTGATAGCACTCTGAAAGGGGAGTGACTTAGTGCATAGAGTAAAGAGAGGGGAGACCCAAAGCCTCAAAATGGAAAGTGAAACTTATAATATGTTAATAGATTGTTTTTGGTGATATAGCATTTCCAAAATATCTTCCCCCTTTAAGTTGTGTGAGGCGACTGCTCTTGTGATTTTGGGGCTTTACAAAATACTCTGAACTGAATGTGAACATTTCCTGTTGTTTCAGAGGAGGAGTCAGAGTCTTCCAGTGGGGAGGTGGAGATCGAGCAGGAGCCCTCAGACTCAGAGGACCCACGGGAGTTGCACCCAGGTGCCACATTACACCCAGGGGTGCTCCTGCTCCGAGCCGCTCGTCTGCACAACCTCCCGCTGATGGCAGAGTCGTTAGCCCACGGAGCCGACGTGCACACATCCACAGAGGAGGAGGGCAAGACCGCACTCATACAGGCTGTCATAGGGGTGAGATGAAGGGGTTTATTGATACTCTGCAGCTGATACTCTGCCTCTGATGTCATCGATATTCCCGTGGGATGCGATGTTAACTTTAGGCTCTGCTCTGGCTGAAGCTTTATCAATCAGAAAGACCAGAGAGACCTGACCAGAGAGATCAGCTCAACTATTGTAGTTCCATCTAAATGGAACTACAATAGTTGAGCTGATTTGTGCTGTTAAACAAGTCTTGTTACTCTCACCTTGGACCTTGGACGCTTATACACTGATCACAGGCCAAATGTGTTGAAAATGTGTTGTTTAAATCCATTTTGTGTTTTTTCTTGAGTTTTCAGATCTATCTTCTATTTATCTAAAACTTTTTTGACAGTGTTTGCCAGTGTTTGAATTGTGTCACTATGGTAACTCCTGAACAGTCCACCATAGAGATACATGCAGAACACCCACAGCATGATGTCACTGCAAAGTATCATTTTTTAGTTTTTAAGATTACATAAGCATTACCTACCTACTGATAGTTTGCAATAACATCTCGCTGGGGGGTTTCACTTATAGGTCTATGGTGGAATATTCAGCTACCATGGTGACATGATACACACATGAGCAAACACTGCCAGATAAGACCATCTGAAAACTCAAGAAAGAACACATCTACATAGCACATGAAAAACTGTTGTCTAATGCGAGAGAGTTGTCCTTTTAATTTCCCGAAAACGTTGTTGACTGTAATGATATGATAAGTGCAAATATGGGTTTTGATAAAACTTTAAGCACTTTAACCCACTTAACGCACTTTAACTTCTGTCCCTTCTTTAATAATGCTCTGGTTCAATATTTACAGAATCTGTGTCATTGTTTTTAATCATTTTGTTGAATATTGTTGTTCATCTTGTTATATTTTGTGATTATCTTTGAACTCAGTTTTTTTTTTTTTTTTTCTCAAATTTGTTTTATTATTTGTCAAACAGTCAAGTGTGTGTGTGTGTGTGTGTGTGTGTGTGTGCGTGTGTGGTGTGTGTGTGTGTGTGTGTGCGTGTGTGGGGTGTGTGTGTGTGTGCGTGTGTGGGTGTGTGTGTGTGTGTGTGTGTGTGCGTGCGCGTGTGGTTGTGTTGATTTTGTTGTTTTGATGCTTATTTGAATTTATGTATCCTACTGTCTGCCCTACTGTATCTGTCTGTTGTCATTGTATTTATGGGGACCCCCTCGAAAATGAGATGGTGAGACATCTCAAGGGCTTATCCTTCAAACAAAAAAATTCTAATTCTTGCTGTAAAGTGCTAGTTACTCACCCACCATACCACCATCAGTTATCTTTTCAGAAAGCAGAAGTAGATCCTCCCTTTGGGTTGACAGATTCTAAACAAAATTATGTAATCAAATTATTTCAGAAATGGGAACTGTACAGAATGAACATACACATGCCAGATTGAAAGATAAGGTGAAGATATACACTACTAGTCAGGTTTTACACACCCTCTCATTCAGTGTGTTTTTTTTTTCTTTATGTTCACTACTTTCTACATTTTATATAAATATGAAATGCATGATTTAACATTTTTTCTTTACTACATAATTCCATATATCTTGCATCATAAATGTGGTGTCCTCTGTATGCATATAACCTGTAGAAAGTAGTACAACTAAAAAAGAAAAACAAAACATTGAATGAGATGATGTGACCAAAATGTGACTGGTAGTGTGTGTTAATACATTGAAGCTTTTGTTACATTTGAATCTGCATGCTCTCTTCATTCCTGTAGTATCGGTATAGTGATAACAGATTTTTCCTTCTTTCTCAGGGTTCTCTGATCGCCTGTGAGTTCCTGCTCCAAAACGGTGCCGACGTAAATCAGAGGGACATGAGGGGGAGGGGCCCGTTGCACCATGCCACCTATCTCGGACACACTGGGTATGATTCAGAAAAGCAGTTTTATATGTAGTATATAAGGTCATCAAAAGTATTGAAAATCAGATATTAATCAATACTAAAACTAGTATAGAGACTAGATACTCATTTGAGCAGGTATCAATACTAAAATGTCCCATTCACAGGACAGAAAGAACCTTTCCTGAATAGTTCACAATAGTTTCACAATGATCTTGAGCTGTATCAGAACAGTAGCTCAACTGGTAGTGCGCTTTGAATCAGTACTGAGTATCAAGTTTATTCCTTAGTATCATAATCAAGTTCAAATTTTAGTATTGTGTATTAAAATAACTGGCCAAATAACTCTAGATTCACTGTTGTTAATAGAAATTTCCAAATTTGAGCTCCACAAATGTTTCTCCTTCTCATTATTTGGGATCAGCTCCACAAACTTGTCATATTAATATTATCTTTCCTTTCAACTGACAACAGTCACATCTTTGGGGTTGAATAATGACACCATTTTCTGAAGCAATTGTGAAAAAGGTTTTCAAACTTGATTGACATTACTTAATAACAAGAGCAAAAATTTTACTCTTTTAACTTTTTTAATGAAAATTTACAGAACTGTACGTAATGTGTCTTGTGATTTGATTAGTTTCCAGAACCATTGCTGTGCTTTTGGCTGCTCCCCAAATGGTTTATACCAAAGTCAGATGTTCCTAATATCTCTGATGGGTGCAGTAAACTTACATAACCATTTACAACACTGACAAATTGTTATCTAATCAAGTGAATTTATTACATGCAAAGTAGTGGTAAACAGTTTAGCCTGAGCTGAGACAGGTCAGAATCCTCAGGTGGAGTTTGTTGCACCTGTCAGATTTGTTCAACAACAAGTTCAATATCTTCTGTGTCAGGAGAAATAAACTAAGTAATGAAATAAGTCTCAGAAAGTGGCGCCATTATTCAACCCCAAAGAGCAGATAAACATTTGTGGATCAGAAGTGTGGAGATTTCTTTCAAAAACAGTGCATCTGTTATAAAGACCCCTGCCCAAACTATCCCTGGGTTTCAGAGTAATGAAAAATTAGCAGTGTTGACATAGTATTTAACAATTCAAAACTAAAATATTCTGGCTTTAAAATGGTGAAAGATCCTCAAAAATTTGCCTATCCATAGGTTTCAGAATGATGAAAAATTTGAACTGTTGTTTTGGCAATTAACAATTTAAAACAAAATCCTACCTTTAGAACAATAGAACGTCCTTTCTTATGACTTATAGAGTTGTTTTGTATTGTTTTCTGCATATTTAGGCAGAGTTCTCTGTTCCACCTTGTGATGTTATATTGTAATAAAAAAGTACTCCACCTTGTTTTTAAACTCCATACACTGTCACTAGAATCATTTGGATCATTTCAGCCCTGGAACTGCCAATCTCCACTGAATCTCCACTGAGCTGTTCACTTGAAAACTACAGCTTCATGACATCACAAGGTGGAACAGAGCATTTAGATCTTTGGAGATGTAGACAGACTGATGAACCAGGATTACTCAAACATGCTAATTGAAACAAAACACAACTCCAGGTCTGATTTCATGTAGCAACATCAGCAAACTAGAAATCCCAGAGAGAGAGCCCAGAAGTGATATTATCATTAACAGCTCTATAACAGGAAGGGTCCACACATGTCCTAAGTCCCTTGTGTCTTTTTCCATCCTCACATTGCTGTGTTGTCCCTGTGTCAGTCAGGTGTGCCTGTTCCTGAAGCGCGGCGCGTCTCAAACTGAGGTGGACGAACAGGGGCATGACCCTCTGAACATCGCGGTGCAAACGGCCAATGCAGACATCGTCACACTGTGAGAAGCACTTTGATTTACTATTCTGCACCAATACAAAAATGACTGTTCTTAAATAGTATATTGTAATCAAATTAAGGTACAGCACCTTCAACCATAACAGCTCCCATCAGGAAGACTCCAAATGATCAAGTATGAGGGCACAGTACATCACAATGGAACCATAGACACTATCAGATCACAAAAGATGCAGTTATTTAGATAGTAGAATGTCCTCTGCAAAGAACAAAATGTCCTGTTTTTAAGTATAGAAAAATCTTGTTGTAACTGTAGCAAAACCTCTACAAACATGTTCTGAAATATCCCTGTGCATCAGATGTCTTTTCTGTGTCTCCATTGAGGTTTATTGTGCATAATGCTGTAGTTTAGACCTCTGCAGACAGGTTCTGAAATGTATGGGATTCTTAGATTAGTTTAACAGTTTGTATTTCAGTCTTCTCTCAAATGTAAAAGTTCCTTGGTTTCTGAACTGAACTGAATCTGAATCTGAACTGAATCTTCCTTTTGATAATCCCACTGCCACCTTCTTCAGAATAATCTAAAATGTACTTCTCATGATCTAAAGCTATTATTTATCAATCAGACGTATTTATCAATCAGAAATATTGATAACTGCAAATATTTTCTTTTTGTGAATTGCATAACTGCACCAAACTGAAAGCATTCCATGCAATACTTCAAAAGATCCTGTACATTGGAAATATGGCTATAGTTCTAGTTACAGTGTTTACGAAAAATGTACTGATCTTTACAGACGTAATGAAGACCATTTTAAAGATTTATGAGTGAAACAGGTCAAATATTTGAGTTTATCAGTGAAACAGGTCAAATATTTGAGTTTTTAAATGTGTGTTTAAATCATTGTTCTAACCTGACTGCATGCTCATGTCACTGATGAGCTCATACAAGACACGAAAATGTTCAGTGAAGGATTTATTTTTACAATAGTTTACCTTTAGTTTCTTCCCAAAGTTTGTTTTCTTTATTTTCTTTTTTTTACTTATTTATTTTTTCAACTGGTGCCAATTCACTTCCCTACTTACTACTATTTATACTTGCAGTACTTACTACTACTGCTCATTACAAGAGGTGCTAGTATAACTGCTAATAATTTTTAAAGTTCTGCAGCTGGTACATTCTTACTCTATCCTATTAGTACTGCTACTACTGCTACTACTGCTACTGCTGCTACTGCTGCTGCTACAACTTCTACTACTGTTACTACTGTTACTGTAACTGCTGTTACTACAGCTACTGCAAGTACTACTAATAATTTTAAAATGTCTGCAACTAGTACATTTTCATCCTTGCTTCCATTAGTTTGCCCCCGGGGCAGCTGTGGCTACAGTAGTGTCTTATCACCAGCGAGTGTGCAGTGAATGAATAATGACCACAATGTAGCACTTTGAGGAGCTTTGACATCCCTGTTATTATTATACTGCTACTACTATTACTGCTACTTCTGCTACTATTGCTACAGCTACTACTACCACTGCTACTACTACTACTGCTACTGCCGCTGCCACTGCTAGTTCTGTTTTTCATGTTTTTGAGACCGTAAAAAGTACAACACCTTTATTGTGAATGGTCCTCAGAAATGCGCCTGAAGTAATTATGGTTTCTTTCTTTCTTCCCAGACTGCGTTTGGCGCGGATGAACGAGGAGATGAGGGAGTGCGACGCTCCTTTGGGGCAGCCAGGTCAATACCCAAGTAGCAGCCCCACAGAACTACAGTACAAGAAGTGTATTCAGGAGTTCATCTGCCTCACCATAGATGAAAGCTAGTACACACACACAGTACTACTAATACTAATACTACTACTGCTACTGCATACTGTCTACTCTCACTGCTGGAGATACCACTACTACCTACCTAGGGCCCTGTACTATGAAGCACGGTTTGAATGATAGAGTTTTACTCCAGATCAAGATTCACTATGTGTTTAATGCTGGCCTTAATGTGCAATTCAAAGCTTTAAACATGTTTATAGTTATTTCCCCTTCTCATTTACCTTCTCAGAGTTGTAACTGGAGTCATTCATGCATGTTAGAACAATCTTTAAATCTCTTATTTTCAAGACCCCATATTGTCGATCGTCAGCTCCCATTGGGCCCTGCAGGTTTCTAGCTCGTTCAAATAACTCATACTTGTGTTAGTTTCTCAGGTCAAATTTCAGTCTTTTTGTCCAGAAATTGCTCAAAAACACCTTGAAAAACATGCATTCTTAGAGGAACCGGGGTCATCTCTCCACAGATGTGAGCTGTAGCTTCGCCTGATGATATACACTGCTTGTCTCTATGGTGATGGATAAGTTTAAGATTCCAGGGAAAACAATAGCAACTCCATGGAGACAAGTAACGGAAAAGTTACACGCTACAGCTTAACTAAGCGTTAACAAAACCACTTTATACCATTAGCACTTCCACGGGCGGCAACCCCTATTCCGACATACCGTCACTCCGATAGACCCCCACTCCGACATGCTCCCATTCCAACACTTTTTGATGCCCCTATTCCAACATTTTGATGCCCCCATTCCGATGAACCAGGACTACTCCAGGACTACTCCAGGACTACTCCAGGACTACTCCAGGACTAAACCAGGACTAAACCAGGACTAAACCAGGACTAAACCTGTGCGACCGCCTCCCGTGTCATTAGAGCATGCAGAGCTTTACGCACGCTGCTCTCTTGGCACGAGACGGGGTCGCATACGCCTGATCTCCCTGCAGTGAGAGCGTGGTGGAGGTGCCAGGTTAATTAGTGCGTCAAGGATTGGAATTTTACTTGGTCGTGGAGGACATGGCTTACACAGGGACCCAGAAATAAAAGTTTATAAAGAGGCGGCTGCAGAGCTGTTTCTCCTCATGCGCGCACTTAAAGATGTGAACTTTTACGCATTCGTTAACCTGGCACCTCCACCGCGCTCTCACTGCAGGGAGGTCAGGCATATGCGGCCCTCTCTCGTGCCAACAGAGCAGTGTGTGTAAAGCTCTAATGGCACCAGAGGCGGCCGCATAAGGAACAGCGCCTACCAACCCGTGTTCAGCACTAGAGCCGTAGCGGGACAGAAAGACAGTCTGCGGACAGAACAAGCTGT